TTACGACGTTTTCATTGAGTTTTTGCAGAGATAACTGACTATAAAAATGAGCCGTGAGGATTCCGTTCGGGATTCTACAAAATACCAAAAATCTCAGCTCATAAGCTAAGTGCTGTTATTCACTATGTTACAATATTAGGTTAGTAAGGCCTCCAAAAGATGAATAAGCAAGGAAAAGCGCAGATACGCAAAGCACCGAGTTATGAAGCGGATACTACGTGAATAGGAACCCTTACCCAGACGGGCGATTGATACATACCGCTTCTGGTTGAAAATGTATCAACTCAGAAATAGGGACGTATCAGTAGAATTGAAAACAAACGCAGAACAAAACACGTTATCACACGTTTGGGTTGGAGCAAGTTTCTCTTGATAACCTAAGTGTGATTTCACAAAGCCTCTCGTAAACGGAAATATTTTTAATGCTTCTATCATTGCAGTATATTACTCTTCACAGCTTGTCTATATCGCGAATTGAAGTTTGCGTTAAGAGTCTACCACCTCTAATATACAGTATCTGCGCATGCTTACTCTCTGCAAGGATGCTTAGAGGTCAAGGTGACGATCAAATCAAGATGCATACTATTGTAAAATCAGATTTGGAACCGGATGGTCCACACCCAAAGGTGAGTCCTAAAAAGATCTGCAAAAACGTATTTTTGAGTATGTTCGAGTCTACCTCTGTCGTTTGAGTAAGGTGCATCCGAAACAGCAGAACATCAAATTTGAGATGAAGGTTTGAGAACTAAGCCGTTTGAAAGTGACATTGGAGGAAAAGGGACACCTTGCGCATTACACGCCAAAGCGAATTCTAAGAACACTTACTTTTTCTCCACTATGGTTCGCCGCCTCAGCATGTTATGGATGTGATGCTAGGTTCGAACTATGTGCAGCTGATTGTACACTCCGGGTCTCCCAAGCTGTGAGGGAGTTCGATTTCCGCTTACTTTGCCGGATGCATAACTGAGAGCCGATCAAGCCTTATCCGCCGTTTGGCTTTGGGTAAAAATTGCTAGGGGTCCTACATTGCGTGTAATTGCAAGGGTCTAGTAAATCTGCTGTTTCCAGGACCAACATCACCTAGAGAAAATGGCCGGTCAACAAAACGATGTCAGGTTGCCCAGGGCGTCGGTTTGCATTGGAGAAAACGAAACATCTGGGAAGATGCGCCATGGAGACTGCTCTCATAACACTAGACATTCTCTACAAACGCCAACCTCCACGCTCTTCTCGGCGCTGCAAACCAGATCAATACCACGTCATTGCTGTGCAGAAGCCCGAGGGAAGAAAGACGTGTGCCTGATGAATGATGGGACCCTCATCACTCGTAATGAAGTTTTCATCACAAAGCGTTGAGGGCGTTGTCTCGCCCACCCTCCATCCCTCTTGTCTGTTCGCATGAGTTCCCATTACCTCGACTGGTTTTCGCCGGTCACGTCGGAAGAACATCAGCATCATCAACTGCTGCTTTCAGCTACAGCCAATGCAGCTGATAAATCAGAACGGGATGCTTTCTAGAGGAGGCCGCTTGCAAAGAGAAGTTCTATAAGTTTGCTGCAGCGATAGATGACAAATCATGATGCCACTATGTGGATTGTGTACACATAAAGATCCATCACCATGCCAAGATGCATCCATAGTTCGACATGGAATATCATGGTGTCAGATAAGAACAAAAGAGCCGGAAAGCAAAACATGAATATAGGATCTGGAGCGAAAGCTGGAACCGCATCGTTGGGCTTCTCTGCACGGTACGTCTTCTCCATGGAAACTTCAGCAGAGAAGGAACACCGTCAGTGGACATGGGAATCGCCCAACGGAACGACTCATGGGAGGTTGATGCATTCTCATCAATCAGAATGGAGCTCCATGTTTCAGTGGTTTCATTCTTGAAATGGCTCTGATCACAGCCTGAGCACGATCATTCGGAAGCCAGAAAAAAGATTCCCATAGCGGTGCAAAAAGAAAGAAGTTGTTTAATGCGGCGACAGGCTGGAGAAGCCTATATCAGGTTTGACCATATCGAAGAGGACGCAAAATACGACTACATCCAGATTCCGTAAGATTGCAATTTTGCTTAAGCATCAACGACTGCGAGACGAACATGGAACGCATCTTGAAGACCATTAAGGAGTCGCAAAAAGAAGCTTTGAGGCAGGTTACGAGCTGGTTAATTCGAGGGATTGGTAGCGAATGCTAGTTGCAGAACAGCTTTGCAAGAGGATCTTTGGAGGTATGGGCAGGCAAGGGTACTGCAAGCGGTTGAAGGAAGACGAAGTTAAGAACTGCCGAAGGACCTTTGCGAAGTATTATGTAAAGAATATTTGTGGAACCCCTTGAAAGAACGGAAGGATTCCTAAAACTTGAAAATCCTTCGTTTGGACAGGCAGATTTTTTACATTTTTTTGTTTGGTTCATCATTCGCAGTCATTTCTGACTAGACTAGAGACATAACAATTTCTCTTGACTTATCACTAATCAACAATTTTTCCTTAAAATGGGCGGCTTCGACAAACCTGTAAATAGTCCTGAATCTCCGAACAATCGGGCCTTTCGTCTATATTTACACATGTCATTGCACCAGGCTTTACATTGCAACTTTCCAGCGCAGCCAAAGCCTGGAGAACGTTTGCATGTCACGCTTTTGTCTTTCCAGATGGAGGTTCACAACTCACTTTTTGGCTATAAGGACAATGTACTTTGGCAAATACAACGACTTTGTTAGATCTCAGCATACCATCCACGAAAGCTTTCACGGACATCTTAAATACAATGAAAAAAAGCAAATCGATGCGGCGATGTGGCCTCAGTACGTGCCGATGCTTTTCTGCACGTTGCCACGCGAAAAAAA